AAAACCTAGCCTGCCAGCTTGGCTTTTTAAGAACGTGTGTTTTTTTGTTTGTTTTTAATGTTCCTCCAAGCTGGAAAGCTCGCCTGAGCGGGGGTAGGTGCTCCAAAGCCACTGACAGGAGCCCGAGCCTTTGAGCTTTTGGTAGTTGGAAGGAAGCTGCCCTATTCTCGTGTTCCTGTGCTTCTCAGTAGTGGGGCTGTGACATAGTAGACAGTGTGCTCAGTTAAATCGGAATTTCGGAAGAACCAATCATTCTTACAACGAAACACGTTCCACCCAATACCTGGGATGTATTTAAATGGGGAGATTTTTAAAAAAAGTTTTTTTTTTTAAATTTTACTTTCTTTTTGCAGTTTTTGGCCGGGGCTGGATTTGAACCCACCACCTCCGGCACATGGAGCCAGCGCCCTGCTCCTTTGAACCACAGGCGCCGCCCATAAATGGGGAGATTTTTTAAAATTCTGATGACTGAATCCTCAGATACTCTGGTTTAATCAGTGTGGGTGTGGCCCAGGCATGGAATGTTTTGGAAGTGCTTCCCAGGTGATTCTAATTTAACTGGGCATGGTGGGGGAGGGGGGCGTATTTTATTGTTTTTGTTGTTTGTTTTTGCTAAACCTGGCAACGCTACCACTGTAGAGATTAGCAGGAATTCATCTGAGGTTTGGAGGTGTTTTTTAGGTAGGGCAAGGGTTTCTGTAGTAGACTTAAATTTTACACGGCACTGAGCTGTCCTTCCATTCAGGTGGAAGCCAAACGAAATTAGCTAAGCCAGCAAGTGAGCTTTATATACAGTATCTACTAGAAAACAAAGCCCCTAGTGGTGCACCTAGTCCAGACTCCATGGGAGGCCATAAGAAAAGTCTAGTAAAAATGTTTTCTTTCTAACTTGGAATTGGCCAGAGTTAGACCTAGGTTCTTTCATTTTTAATTGGCTTATTTATTTGAGAACCGTCACAGGGAAATTCCTTTTTCATGACTTTATTTCTGACCTCTTGAAAACACTAACAAGGCTCAGGAACTTCCCCAAACAACTAGGTCCTGACACAGTGGTTTTCAGCCTTGGTTGTATATCAGAATCACCTGGGGAGGGTATGGTCCAGGCATCTAGATATTGAAAGATCTCTCCAGGTGGTGCTAATGTACAGTGCAAGGTTGACCTACCCCCCATCCTAGGTTGTTGGCCAGAGGAAGAGAAAACAAGTAGAAATGGCTATTGAACTGGTTAAGTTAGGTGCTAGATGACACCAAGTTCTGGTGGCTTCTCCTGTTCTGATGTTACTGAAAGAGTCTTTGCCCCCAGAATGGGAGGCCAGATGCTTCAGGAGCTGGTGGATGCAGCTGTTCTCACCGGCCTGTGGGGGCAGCAGGACCTCTGCCTGGCACCTGAGAGTCAGTGGGATGGTGCTTGTTTGGGTTATATTGGCCACAGGCCCATTCCAAAGTGGGTGTAGAACAGAATCAGCTAGGAACCGACAAGTAGGGCTGTCCGCTGAAAGCTGCCCCACAAATAGCAGCCACCTACTTGCACAGCTGAGCAGGAGGGGACACCAGCTCTGTGGGTTTTGCCAGTGATCTGTTTTCTGAGTGGGTAGATGAGGAAACTCCAGTAGCCAAACCAACATTCCAGCTCACTCCAGGAGGTTCCAGGTGCTAGTCTGCCAGTGAGTCTGATCCCTGGCTCAGCAAGGTTTTGGGTCCAGGAAGGCAGAACTATGGGCTCTTTGTCCCAGTGAGGGACTTCATAGCCTATGGAAGCCATGGTCCTGTTGAAGCAGGGAGAAATTCAGCTTCTTGCGCTCCATGTGTATGTATGTTTAATGCATTTAGTACATTTACACCTAATAATTGCAGATGTGATTGTAACGGGAAAGTCACTGTGCCAAGGAAATGACTTTGGTCACCACAGATTCACGGTGACTCTCCTTGGGGGCCAAAGTGGACACTGAATTGAGAAGCAGGGGCCTCTTAGGACTTCAGTGCTTGTGTCCTCCAAAGACTTTCCTCCCAGACCCTGGCCCTCCCTTTAGGACACAGGGCATGCCCTTTGGGGTGATGCTTCAGGCTAGTAAGACCAAGGCCTGCCCTACTAAGGGGGCTCAAATTAGAGGGACCATATCCCAGTAGATGACTTCGAGCACTGGTCTTAGGGACATTCTACTCTGAATGCACACATGAATGGGGCAGCCCTGGCAGGAAGCAGGAGAGGCCAGAACCACAGTCTGCCCTACCTGCATAGCAAGACAATTCTGAAGCCCTTCAGCCGTGCTGTCTGCTGCCCACCGGAGAAAACAGGCTGCTTTCTAGAAAGGTGTTTCTAACAGCATAGACCCTGGCGAAGCTTAATGCCACTATTTCCCCAGGACAAGCTTTCCCCCATGACCTCCGTGACCTTGTAGGTTCCTTCTCTCTTTATTGTGACTGTAACGTAGAGGTATCTGCCCCAGAGCCAGCAGCTAGGAGGGCATCCAGGTCACCTCTCCTTCAGGATCTAAGTGCTGCTGTCCCCCAGGTGACCTGCTTCCTGCTGGGACCCATCTGCTTTGCTGTCCTGCACAGGCTGTGTTCGTCTGCATGGTTTGGGGTCTTTGTCCTTGTGCCTTTTTTTCCCTGTCACCACTGTACAGGATTTTCCACACCCCACTGCTGCCCCCTTTTCTACACTTCCTCACCTGCCCTGCCCCTTCGGAGCCCTGTAAGCGTGTACTTTACATCCAGGGGCCTCCACTATCTGAGGCCATGCTGGTAGACCAGCTCTCCTGGGCCGGTGCAAGGATCAGGCCCATTTCCCTTCTGTTCACTCAGCCTTGTAGACTTGGTAACTTTGTACAGAATCCTTCCTTCCTGTCTTAAACCTGGAGGGCCAGGCCCACTCAGTCCCTCATGCAGCCTGCACCTGGTTTAGAAGCCTCACCTCCTGGAAGTGGGTGGCTTTGTGTGAAGCAGCTTCTCCACAAAGCTCTTCCCGTGCTAGTGCTAGCTGGCAGAGCACAGCTCTCCGACTTGGGGGTGTCACCCTGACAGAGATGTCATGGGATTGCAACCGCTCTGTGCACCCCCCTGCCGTCCCCAGAAGGAGCCCTGGCTGCGTGGTTCCTAGCACCTGTCGGTGGGC